TATTATGCATATTGACCATTAAATGTGTGTTCTTTGAGCATGCAAAGTTGAGATTTCTTTCCATAGAAGATGCCACAAGTTAAAGTTAAGAAGATTATGAATGTAGAGTAAGAGGGTTTCATCGCTCAGCTTTTTACAAAGATCTCACACAAAAGTAAATGAAAACTAGTAAATGAGAAATCAGTTCTTTTTATGAAAAAAAATTCAAAAGAAAAAAACACAAGTGCTTAACTCTTCTCAATTGATTTCACTATGAAAACATAAGTTACAAAACTTTTCCTCTCTTAAGGATAAAGAATGTGGATTGCTATTCTGACTTCCAACAAGGCAATAAAAAACATTGTGAGTCAGTCAAGAATGAGGAAAGATTAGACAACTATTATTAGAAGATGATGGATTGCTAGGAGTCCAATAATGACATTTCAACAATGATGGATATTTAGTGATGTTCATATAACGGTGTGCGTGAGGACAATCCAATTTTGGTGCATGGCAACAATAGTTTGGTAGTGGTGATTTGATTTCATCAATTCAACGACAGCGATCAAATGACGGTAGTTTGATAGTCATAGATGGATGGTATCGATCCAAAGGTGGTGAGCAAGGGATATCAATCTTATGGTGTACGTGCAATAATGCTCTAATGGTTGTGAGCAATGATGATTCGATAATGATAGTCATGTAGAGCTTAAGGATTTTATAGGTATCAAACCTCTCGCGCTAATCTTCAATCTAGTTTCCACTGATGACGATAGAGATGGTTTACTTATAGATTTTAGGAGTGAAATTCCATGTAAATATCATCAAAATCAAAAACCTATAACATACTGGAGTGAATCTCCTAATTAAATGATTTTTTAGGATCTAAGATCCTTAATATTATGTGAATTAAATGATGTTGAAAGCATATCATTGAATTCTCATCAAGACATTCCATTTGAATAGAAACACATAATATTTAATGACCATTTTATCATGCAATCTTTTTTTAAAATTTTTTAATTATGCTTCAACTTTTTGATTTATGCTCATTTAAACTTAGTTTGAATACTATATGATATCGTTGAGTTCATCCTATCGATGTATTCAGTTGGCTAAGAATTTTTTAAAAATTGTGGTTTGGTTGATCTTGACACTAGAGATTATCTAATTTTAATATCTATCAAAATTTGTGTTTAATCAAGTTATGTTTTTAGTTTGTGGTGTGTGTCTAAGAAAGCACACGTGTATATATATAAGGCCGTATGGTGCCAAAAAAGTTGTTAGCATGCTCAATGGGCATAGAAAACCTTTCTTTTTTTTTTCCAAAGCACACAAACTGTTGTGTACCTATCAAACTAATTGACAAAGTACCCGATTAACCTACCAAGCTGATTGACCAAGTAAAAGATTGATATGTCGAATTAATCTATTGAGTACCAGTTGTCGGGTTGATTAGTTGAAATGAACTGTCTGATATGACAAGCATCACTATTGAGTATCAATTGACGATATTAGTTATTAATGAAAAAAACATGTTTGTCTAATTGCATGTTCTCTACATCAGATCAATTTGGCATCATCAGATCGTTTATACTAAATAAATTTAATATTATCGTTTTATGATTAAACAAGAGAGAGAGATCATATTGAGTCCAATTAATAAGGATTCTTAAGTGAATTCCGATCCAAATCTTCTCTCTTGAAAAAATATTACATCGGGAGTCTTGATGCAAAACTACATCAGTACTTCAATCAAAATGCATCACGTGTACGGTCCGACCCTGTTATACATTAAACTATTTAGTTTTTGGTATTCAGTATGGTCAGACATTATAATCGGAATCCTGACGCAGTTTTGCATCAAGACTCCTGATGTTCTCTTACTTTATCAACGAAGAGTGCACTTGATTCTTTTCAACTTTGTCTCTATATACATAATTTTTATTCACAACCAAAGGTGTCCCAAGCTAAGTCGGATCGAACTAAGGATTATCTTCATATCGGTGTTAGTCCGTTCGCCACATAATCGGTTGCAAAACCTTCCATTGTCGTGGAGCCGATGGCATTTAATGTCGATGCGTGCGTTAAGACAAAAAAAGAGAGATTTTTAATGTGATAAAGTAATAAAATGACCAGTTAGCGGTAGTGCCAACCCCCAACCCCCATCCGGACCTCTCGCCATCCAAATTTATTCCATATTTCCTAACCTATCTCTTACTCACTTCGTCTCCCTCGCTTCCGTTAGGTTCAACGCCATTAGAAATAAAAGTCAACCCTTTTCTCTCTTCTCTCTATATTATTCTTCCCCACCACCTGAACAAACTATAGCTTGCGATTCTGAACTGAGCGCATTGCAATTTTCATACCAAAGGATGATTTACATGCATGCCACTCAATTCTTATCTATTTACATATCTTATTGTAAACAAGCTGAACACGGGCGAGCCCAGGCACAACTTGTGTTCGGCTCGTTTATATTTCGAGCTCACAAAGTGTGTTTGTGTTCCGCTCGTTTGCTTGACGAGTCGGACACAAGTTGTTCACGAACAAAAAATCGTTTTGACAACTCTAATTACGTAGTCATAAGATTTTAATGGTTGGGGCAAGATTTGAAATTAATTGTTTATATTAAAACAACATTTGAATTTAATTTAATAAATTTTATTCTACCTTTTTTTAATTAATACCTTGAATTAATTATAAATCTTCGTAGCTTTGTTATCAATTAATTTTTTTATAAATAGTGCTCATCAATATATATAATAAGTATTATTTCAAGCCAAAACGAGCCGAACACAAACGAACAAATCTTTGTTCGTGTTCGGCTCCTTAACTTATTGGGGAGAAAAAGGAATGTGAGGCCTGGAACGTGATACTTTGGAGTGCTTTTATGGGCCATTTCAATTTTATACCGTCGACTTGTAAATTTTTTTTGTTTTTATTTTTATGTTTTATGTTGAGATGATAAAAGCCGTGACTCAATTAAAGTAGTGTAAAAATTTAATTTTTAGATGAGTTTGGGATAAAATTAAAAAAAAGGATGACAATCTTGTAAGAAACAAAGAACATATTTAGGGTTCTATTCCTATACCTGAAAGCAATTGCCAAGAACATGTATAGTTCAGATTAAGTCATTATGAAAGAGAGGCTATTTTGAGCCACAGAAGAAAGAACGGTTAAGAACTATGTAAGGCAATAGGTAACTTGAAGCAAGGACTACTATCCCTTAATAGAAGTCTAGCATTAACCAACCAACTTGAAGAAAAAGAGAACAAGATGGACTGAAGCAATGAACAAAATTAGAATGACAAATTGCAAAAGCAACATGATAAAAGATATAAATTGCACCATCAGCCATTCATGTTAGAAAACTGGAGAAAGTAACCGGCTCGTGAAATTTGGGGAGAATTAGTAGAGGACGAAGGAAGTCGTGACGTACGGAGGGAAGAGCTAGCGTCCTTGCCTTCCATCTCATATTAGCCTTTTGTTGAGGACATTAGGTAAAACCAACATACGAAGCAACAAACACAAGAAAGAACACAACAAATTTAACGAGGTTTAGCAATTTGCCTATGTCCTCGGAAGCAAGAGCGGCAGCTTTCTGATTTCACGAAAAAAAGTACATCACCCTTAGCGTTACAAATACAACATATATATATAACCCTAGTGTACAATATGCAATTACAAAATTACCTCTATACCGTACCGCGGAAGCAACGCCCAACCCACTTAACGAAACTCCCCCAATTGCTTCGCTCCACTCCGCTCGCGAGCTCCACTATAATATCTTTCCCTTACATGGTATATGTGTCGTACCTAACACTTTTTTTCTGACCTAAATTTTATGCGAGAAAACTGACTTTTAATCTCAGCTAGAATGTTAGAATTACGGACACCGAAAATGAACGAACAAAACTTTTTAGCAATGGAATTAGAAGTGAAGTATAAAATCTTGAACAATGAGAACTAAACCATTAGAACTTAGTTTGAGCTATCTTCTTCTTTAAGTTGACCTAGTTAAACCATTAAACTCAGGTTAGCCCAAGCTGGCATACTCGACTACAAATGGACCTAAGGTTACAAATTGGCTATAAGGATTATTTGAACACAATTGACCCAATTGAACCCCTTAGCCGGGCTATGTTAGTCAATCAAATTAAATCAAATAAATATTTTTAAAAACAAAACTTTCACCTATGCATCAAAAACTTAAAGTATCAATACTTAAATCTTTGACAACACTATCAAAAATATCATCATGACTAACTTCCAAAACTGAAATGCATCTGTTTATGCCTAAATTCATGAAATCAAAATATTCAAAATATAAACATTATATTTTGTCCACCAGATAAACAAAAAACATAAGAATTGTTGGCTACGCATTTAAATTTCCCCAAATTTTTATACATTTGAAGTCCTGGACGCTCATATTAAACAATTAGCAAGAAATTTTATAATATTTTCTTAACCTTTAATTTGTGTTACTTTTTTTTTAAAAAAATGAAGAGTAGCCAGATACCCCCCCATGACAGCCGCGTGTTACATCCCAAAAGAGCCCTTATGGGTGGTGGGCAGCATAGGACTTAAATAGGACTTAAATAGCTCTACACCTAGCCAATGTGGGACTATTTGTCTGTGACATTCTTCTCCACCCAATCACGTGATGCCCTCGTCACGAATCGACTCCCCCGAGGGTCCCACTGGACCATGGAGAGTCCACACACCTGGCAGGCAGTAATTTGCTCCGATACCACTTGTCACATCCCAAAAGAGCCTTATGGGTGGTGGACATCCCAGGACTTAAATACTGCTTTTCGGCTCTATACCTAACTGATGTGGGACTATTTATCCGTGACACGCGGCAGTAAAATAATCTCCACGCAGAAATATTATCCCTCCCAATCCCACTGTCGCCTTCACAATTACGTAATATTTTCTGCATACAAGAGCCGGCCTGGAGCCAGCTTCTCATTTAAACTACCATCTACCCCCATTCATTGCGCCCCTGAACCACCCTTTAAATTCCCTCCCTCCCCCTCCTTGCTCCAATCCATTCCTCCCCAAACCCGCCGGAGTTCCAAAAAAAAAAAAAAAAAAAAAAAAAAAAACTCCATTTTTTCCCGATTAAACGAATCACTACCTCATCCCCGAGCATTAATCCCAAACAAACCACAGCATTCCGCCATGCCAACCTCCTCCACCTCCTCCCCTTCCTCTTCCACATCCCCTCCCCTTCCAGAGTTCAAAAACTCCGTCAAGCTCAAATACGTCAAACTTGGCTACCAATACTTAGTAAACCACATCCTCACCCTCCTCCTCATCCCCATCATCGCCATCTTCGCCCTCGAAGTTGCCCGAATGGGCCCTTCCGAACTTCTTTCCCTCTGGCGCTCCCTCCAACTGGACCTCCTCCAAATCCTGTGTTCCGCTTTCATCATCGTCTTCGTCGCCACCGTCTACTTCATGTCCCGCCCTCGCCCAATCTACCTCCTCGACTACGCTTGTTTCAAACCGCCCATGTCCTGTCGAGTCCCCTTCTCCACTTTCATGGAACACACCCGCATCATCTGCTCCGACGAGAAGAGCTACCAATTCCAAGCCCGAATCCTCGAGCGCTCTGGCCTCGGTGAAGAAACCTGCCTCCCCCCTGCTAACCATTACATCCCACCTAGCCCCAACATGGAAGCCTCCCGCACCGAAGCCAAACTCGTCATCTTCTCAGCCATCGACGACCTCCTCTCCCGCACCGGTCTCAAGCCCAAAGACATCGACACTCTCGTCGTCAACTGCAGCCTATTCTCCCCAACCCCTTCCCTCTCCGCCATGATCGTCAACCGCTACAAACTCCGCGGCAACATTCGAAGTTTCAATCTTTCCGGCATGGGATGCAGCGCAGGGCTCATTTCCATAGACCTCGCAAGAGATCTCCTCCAGGTTCACCCCAACTCCACCGCCCTCGTTGTCTCGACCGAGATCATCACTCCCAATTTCTACGCCGGGAACCAGCGCTCCATGCTTCTTCCCAATTGCCTCTTCCGCATGGGCGCCGCCGCAATCCTCCTCTCCAATCGCCGCCGGGACCGCCGTCGCGCTAAGTACCGTCTCCTCCACCTCGTTCGAACCCATAAAGGCGCGGATGAAAAAGCCTACCATTGCGTCTACGAGGAGGAGGACAAGGACGGACATTCCGGCATCTCTCTTTCCAAGGACCTCATGGCCATCGCAGGGGAAGCCCTTAAATCCAACATCACCACCATCGGCCCTCTGGTCCTCCCTGCTTCCGAGCAACTCCTCTTCCTCTTCACACTCATTGGCCGAAAGATCATAAATCCGAAATGGAAACCTTACATCCCAGACTTCAAGCAAGCCTTCGAACACTTCTGTATCCATGCCGGCGGGCGAGCGGTGATCGATGAGCTGCAGAAGAATCTGCAGCTCTCACCGGAGCACGTGGAGGCTTCGCGGATGACCCTGCATCGCTTCGGTAACACCTCCAGCAGCTCCCTCTGGTACGAACTCAACTACATCGAATCCAAAGGCCGGATAAAGCGCGGCGATCGGATTTGGCAGATTGGCTTCGGGAGCGGATTCAAGTGCAACAGCGCGGTTTGGAAATGCATGAGGACGGTTAAGACGCCGCTCGACGGCCCCTGGGCGGATTGCATTGACCGCTACCCTGTTTTCATCCCGGAGGTCGTCAAGCTCTGAAGAACTCCGCACTCGCCGCCGGCGATCTGTTCAACCACTCTTCCTACCACCAACCGAACGACGTTGTGAAGTAGATGGGTGTTTGATTTGTTGAAATTTAATTATGTGTTGTGTAAGATTCTGTGGCTGATCCGATTCCATTGGTAGTTGCTGCTGGCTGTTGCGTGTTGTGTGGTCTCGTGAGGAGGAGGAGGGGGGGTCGAATACAAGCTGTTTGATTTAATGCCCAAGAAGTAATACAGCGATAGTTGAAGTTGTGTATTTAATGTTATTGTTGGTTTTACCAGATGGAGCGGTGGTGTGGCGAACGGGAAGGAAAGTGACCGACATTGGTCCCGGGTGGGCTCCTACCTCACGCTATAAGTTGAAAAATGCCAAGCATGGCGATTCTGGTCTACATAAAAATAACATTAAATTATTACATCATCAAAATACAAAATAATAGCGGCATTTAAATACGTAACACCCAATTCTTATGTCTTTACATAACACTCATTGTTCATGAATAGTTCGCGTTTGGATCATCGGGGAGTTCGTGTTCGATTCGTTCGATAAGCAAACTGTTAAGCTGGAGCCCGATTACTCTCGTTCCCGCCTCCCGATCTCCCTCTCCTGCTTCCCGCTCCCGCGCCGATTGCGAACGGTCACGACCACGACCCTGCTGTTTTGCGAAACCACTCCCGCCTTTCTGTTTCGCAAAACGTTGCCTCTCCCTCCTCTCTCGTGATAAAGGGTATCGTACGGCTCTCCATCAGTTTCTGAAGTCACGGTTTTTTGTATTCTTCTTCGGGCTACCTCGGGATAGAGGAAGGAAAGTGTAAGAAGTAGTTCATTGCGGCAAAAGAAAGAAGAAAGAAGAAAGAAGAAGAAGATCGTTCTCCCTTGGCTTCTTCTTGGTGGCTTGTGGCAGAAGAGAAATTAGATTTATTTCTCTTGTAAGTTTATCTTCTTCGGTATATCTCGGTATAGAGTTTATTCGGCGTATCTCGGTGTAGAGAGAGCAGAAAAGAGAGAGAAGATGAGAGAACAATAAATTGAGAGATTCCTCTTGTAAGTCGAGACGATTGACTAATATAAATTCCTCAAATAGTAAAATCCTCTGTAACTCTGTGGGCTTCACTATGATTATTTTTTTAAAAAAACTTCTAATCTTATATTTTTTATGGATTATTTTAATATAAACATATGACATGAATTTCATATAAATGACTAAAAATAATGGTTTCATGCAACGTGTTTTAAGTAGGTGTGTGGACAATAATCATTATGTTTTTGAGTAATCAAGGGAGCACGTGTTGCTGTGGATTTAGTCCCCAGAAAGTTCTCACGTGTGTTTTAACATGATTGACTAATGATAAGATAAAAGGAAATGTAAAAACACGTGTGGCGGGACACTTTGTATAAATAATTAGTTGAATAAAGTTTGCAGCACTTACGATGAGCAAATAATTATGTGGTTGATTTTACACGTATAATTTTATATTATTTGTCAATACATTGCAATTCTACGCAACAATTCAGAACATATAATAATGAAAAAAAAAACACGTACATAAAATATTCACTAGAAAGCTTAATAGCGAAGAATTTATTATAATTCAACATCGTTAAGTTGGAGGGAATCGAGGAAGATTTACATGTATAATATAGTCAAAAATGTTAAGACTTACAGTAAAACCGACGGCTTATATTTGTGTCGTAAAAATATTTCATTTTTCGATGGTACAGCGACGGTTTATGACGTAGGTTATTTGTGACAGCTTAACAATAGGAAATGTCGTCGCTTATTATTTGTAAATTTTTTTTTTTGATGATTTTAACCATTAGTGAAGTATGATGTCGTGGTTAAAGGAAAGAATCAACTGACAATCATTTTGTTAAACTACGTGTTTTTAATAAGCAGCAGTGTTATCCGTCGGTAATAAAGTAAATTAGCAACGGTTGAGCGGCAGTTTATGCTTGGATAATTTCCAACGGCATAACTACAAAATTTTCATCACTTATTAGGGTTTACTCAACCTGGACAAGTGCATCTGATTTGTAGATTAAAGTGGGTTGAAACAGTCTCTAAGACAATGGTACAAGCGGTTTGACTCATACATGATTCAGATTGACTACAAGCAATGTGAGTATGATTGTTGTGTTTATGTGAAGAGCCATGATGATTGTTCTATTACTTTTCTGTTATTGTAAGTTGACGATATACTGATTGCTGCAAAGAATATGAATGATGGTCGTGGTTTGAAAACTTTATTGAGCCAGGAATTTGACATGAAAGACTTGGGTCCTACGAAAAAGATTTTTGGAATGGAGATTCATCAAGATAGAGGCTTGATCCCGACTTAATGCTTATGCACAATATAACAATAGTTTTAATGATATTTTTCACTTATATTTCCTTATTTTGCAACAAACCAAAAACTTGATCCTGAAGAAAAATAAGAATTTAACTTTTTAATTTATATATATTTATATTGGGACAATATGCAAGTATACGTATCGTTATCAAGTAATATAAGATTTTTTTATTAAGACCTGAATATCGAACCCACAGGGAAGATTATGCAATATGCACTTTTTAGAAAGTTTTTCTATTTTTAAAAAGATAATTACTTAAACTAAAAATGATTTTTGCAGGAATTTAAAATTTAAATATTTTTTGTATTTTTGATATATTAACGAAACAGTAACAACTTAAAAAGATAACTAAAGTTTTTGTAGAAGAAAAACACTTAATATGAAAATATCTTTCTTCTTATCATGAATCAGTAATAAGTATAGGAATTCTGTTGTGGATGTATGCAAATTGTGTTGTGTGAAATAAAAGCAATAATGTTCTTTACCCTTACTAGAGATGCTATAAAGAACATTGGCTAATTTACAGTTTGAATTGTTCTTAAGACCGGCTAGGCATGGAAGATACTAGCTCTCACTCTAGAGTTCCCTCGAGTCCCTCCACCTGGAGGCTAACATTCTCGTATCAGAACCTAAAACAATAAACCAAGTTGGGGGCCTTAACCTGTCACTTTAAAGTCCTCTAACTCTACACCCATCAATGAATATTTCCTTATTTATTTGCACTCAATCATATGAACTACATTTTCATTCATACAACCTCATGTGATTCTTTCCAATTGTTGACTGAGACAATACCAGGTCGGTTCTTATATGTTCTCACAACAAATTTTAATATCTGGATTGGTCAAATCAAGAAGTAAATGAAGGGCATGGATTTAAATCATCACAACTTCTTCCAACATTAAAGATTAATACTCTCCACAACTTCCATCCAAAACTTAATTACTTATCATTTTAGAAAAAAGATAAAAGAAAATTACTCAAAATCCATGTAGAAACAAAATCACACTTTAATTTAAAAGAAGAAATCATTGTCAAACCAACAACAAGCATTAATTAAAACCAAAAGTAGTCTAAAACAAAAAGATAAAAACTTATCTCAAGTACTCCACCAAACTCTTGAAGTTCCTTTGAATATCTTCTCTTTTACAATCACTCAAAACAAAATAAAAAAAGGATAAAGTAAATAAAAAGTGGTTCCTGAAAATCTCTCCGAACTAACTCCCCAGAGAAAAACTTTCAAAATTTGTTAATATTTTCAGGACTCTTTTCTAAGTCCTCTCTTCTTTCTTTTATAATTTTCCAAAAGGTGCCTTGGGATCTCTTCAAAATGTGTCTTGATTCGATGTATTTGCCAAGAGACGCATCCTTTCATGATAATTTTTTGTCCCACCTATTAAGCTAATGGGTGCCTTAAAATCTCTTCGAAATTCGTGAAAATCGATTTTACTCGTCTAGTAACTGCCACTGGAGCTTAAGCGCGGAGTCTCGACTCTTAGGCGCGGCCTTCTCTGTTTAACCGGCGCACAAGCGGCGGGTCTGGCGGCGCTGGGCGCTTAGGCGCCAAAAACTCTTTTGCACAATTTTTCATATTTTTGCTCCAAATTCGATCCTTTGTCGCTCCTTTCAGCATTTTTTTCCATTTTTTACTTTTATCTGCAAGAAAAACACAAAAATACTTTTCATTAAAGCGCAATATCTCAAAAATAGGTATAAAAATGTGTCTAAAAATGCTATATATTTTAGGTGTATCAAAATCCCCCGAACTTAAAATGTTACTTGTCCTCAAGTGACACTTCAATCTTCAAAAAATAAATATGTATAATATGTATATGAGTTTATTTAGGAGTTACTAAAATTTAGATTTAGAAATATAGTAGTCCAATTTAGAAAAAATAATTAGTAAATAAGACCAACTTAAAGTTTGAAAATTTTTAATGTTAAGAACTATTAAAATATGAGTTCCTATCTAATTCAGAAATATTGTAAGTTCTCTAAATTTAGATTTTAGTTCTTTAATTTTCTCTACTTAAAAATTTTTATGAAAAATAATTTTACTTACTATATTATATTTATAAGCTTAAGAATTTATCAAGTCATATACTTTAAAAAGATCAAATGTATAACTAATTTTTGATTAGACACTAATCCTCAAGCTTCTCCTTCCTTACATTTCTTTTCTTTTTCTTTTTTTTTTGTTTTCTTTTCTTTTTCTTTTTGTTTTTCTTCTTCTTTTTTTTCTTTTCTTTTTTTTTTCTTTTTCAGACAAGAATTACTATATCTGGATAGGTCTTTAATGTTTTTGAATTCTACTTCTCATTTCCTAAAATAAAGTCTTGATATAAAACTTTTACTTATAAATATAATAATATTTTTGAAAATCATGTTAATAAAAAAAATTTAAGTATTAAAAATAAAAATCTAAATTTTTTAAAAATACAATTTTTCTTACTGAAGATAGTCACTTTTATTAATCATTTTCTATACTAAAATTTTTAACTTAAAGTTTTTATTCATTACTTAAAATTTTAACTAAAATTTCTTACTCATTTCTAAAATCAAATTTTACTTCCCTAATATAACTTCATATACATAATCAATTTTTCTTTTAAAATTCAAATTCATTTGTAGTTCATTTGAAAAATAAATAAAATTCAAGTTTGAAAATATTTTTCATCCCTTCCCCAAACTTAATTTTTCTTAACAGATTAATTTTTTAAGCATCAGATAATTATATAGGAAGGAATGAAAATTGAAATAACATGCTAACAGGAATTTTTACATCCTAATTATACAAGTATAAAACTAAAGAGAGAAGAAAAATTAAAAAAATTAATTTTGATCAAATTTATTTTGATCAAATTTTCTAACATTTTATTTTAGTTTAACGTGTATAGATTCAATATAC